CGTCCATCCATCCATCCATCCATCCATCCATCCATCCATCCATCCATCCATCCATCCATCCATCCGTATGTCCATCCATCCATCTATCCATCCATCCATCCATCCATCCACCCGTCCTTCCATTCATTGCTCCATCCACCCATCCATCCAACCATTCATCCATCCATCCATCCATCCACCCATCCCTCCATCCATCCATCCATTGTTCCATCCACTCATCCTTCCATCCATCCATCCATCCATCCATCCATCCATCCATCCATCCATCCATCCATCCATCTAGCCGGCTTTACGTCATACCTGACCGTCGGTATTGGGATGCAGTCAGTAGTTATCCAGTTCTACCAGATCCTACAGATGTATAAGATCAGCACTACAACTGGGTCGCTCATCTTCACCTGCACCACCCTCAGCATCAGTGCTATGTGTGAGTAGCCTCTCTGTGTCTCTTTATCTCTCTATCTATCTTTCTATCTATCCCTCCGCCCATCTAGCCGGATTTACGTCCTACTTCACCATTGGTATCGGTATGCAGACCGTGGTAGTTCAATTCTACCAGATTCTTCAACTCTATCAGATCAGCACCACAACTGGGTCACTCATCTTCACGTGCAATACTCTCAGCGTCAGCGCTATGTGTGAGTACACCTATCTATCTATCTATCTATCTATCTATCTATCTATCTATCTATCTATCTATCTATCTATCTATCTATCTATCTATCTATCTATCTACCCTACCCCCAGCTGGGTTCATATCCTACCTGACAAACGCGATCGGCAGACAGACAATAGTGGTCCAATTCTACCAGATCCAACAGATGTATGAGATCAGCACCACCACAGGGTCGCTCATCTTCACGTGCACCACTCTCAGCATCAGTGCTATGTGTGAGTAGTCTTTGTCTCTGTATCTATCTGTCTGCCTGTCTGTCTGTCTGTCTTTCTGTATCTATCTATAGGTTCTGAAGCGTAGAGAGAGCTTGCTGTTGAGCGGGAATTTGCGCTGTAGAAATGCAGTCGATCTATCTACCTATATATTTGTCTGTCTGTCTGTCTGTCTGTCTGTCTGTCTGTCTGTCTGTCTGTCTGTCTGT